CACCTTAGAGACTAACAAATTTATTAGAGCATATATGCATCCGAAGAAGTGGGCTGTAGTCCACGAAAGCTTATGCTCTAATAAATTTGTTAGTCTCTAAGGTGCCACAAGTACTCCTGTTCTTCTTTTTAAGTTCAAGAAAGTTTTCAGAGTAGCAGCCATGTTAGTTTGTATCCGCAAAAAGAAGAACAGGAGTACTTGTGGCACCTTAGAGACTAACAAATTTATTAGAGCATATATGCATCCGAAGAAGTGGGCTGCAGTCCACGAAAGCTTATGCTCTAATAAATTTGTTAGTCTCTAAGGTGCCACAAGTACTCCTGTTCTTCTTTTTAAGTTCAAGAAAGTGGCCTCAGCCCTCACAGGACCTTTGGAAATGTAGGCATCGCATATGAATCAGATCTAATTTCTGTCAGACATTCTATATAATCACTTTTATCCTAACGGAGTAAACTTTTCAAATATGTGAAAGAATACTTTCTAGGCACACTTCAAGCGTGAAGGCAAATATCCACATCCTATTTGTAAGAAACATCACTGCCTAAACTGCAAATGCAGCCCAATGTTATAAGTTGTCAGTATGTCTTTTAGATTCTTGATTTGTCAAAGTAGAGAATACCCAAATAGAACTTTGATCACCAAACAAAATGTATCGTTTTTACTAAAATTGTGGCATCCAACAGATTAAGTACATGTTGCTCTGTATCCAGCATCCAGTCCTCTTCCCCTCCAATAGTTATTGCAAACATTTCATTGAGGCATGAGTTTTATACATTGTACAAACTTTAATATGTAATAAGATATTTCAGCTGATATATATCCCAACCTAGTTATTCATAGATTCTAGGACTGGAAGGGACCTCGAGAGGTCATCGAGTCCAGTCCCCTGCCCGCATGGCAGGACCAAATACTGTCTAGACCATCCCTGATAGACATTTATCTAACCTACTCTTAAATATCTCCAGAGATGGAGATTCCACAACCCCCCTAGGCAATTTATTCCAGTGTTTAACCACCTTGACAGTTAGGAACTTTTTCCTAATGTCCAACCTAAACCTCCCTTGCTGCAGTTTAAACCCATTGCTTCTTGTTCTATCCTTAGAGGCTAAGGTGAACAAGTTTCCTCCCT